ATTTTCAAGGAAGTGTCTGTCAGGTCACGCTCATTTTCAAAGCAGTCATCGTCAGGCTATGTTCATTTTCAAGGCAGTCATCGTCAGGCTACGTTCATTTTCAAGGAAGTGTCTGTTAGGCCACGTTCATTTTCAAAGCAGTCATCGTCAGACCACTTTCATTTTCAAAGCAGTCATCGTCAGACCACTTTCATTTTCAAAGAAGTCATCGTCAAGCCACCGATGACTGACGCGGCCTAAACGGAAAGTTTAGTGTCCGCCACCGCTGGCTGACATGGCGCTCAACGTGTTCAGTGCGATAAAAAAATAGACAGATATATCTTTATCATGATTCGGGATCAAATTTTTAAACGGGTCAGCAACTTTAGGTATTTAGAATCAATTTAAACAATGTCAACAAATTCCTTTAGCTCACGATTACTATCTGGGCTCTTAAAAGTCAGAATACACAGGACAATCATCCTACCGATAGTCCTTTATGGTAGTCAAACGTGGTTCACTTACGTTACGGGTACGAAAAGTAATTGAGGGTTTAGAAAATAAAATTTTTATTTAAATAAAATGTTTCTTACCGGTTCGGTAACTTGATCAGAAAATTGGACCCTCTGTTGGGCAGCATTGAACATCTTTCGATGCGCTCGCTTAAATTCTTCCATTAACTGTAACAATAAACAAAATGGGATTTTATAAGATTAAAAAAAAAAAAATACAAAAATGGGGCACATAGGTTTGTCACGAATGATTACACGTTAAATCGTCCATATCCAAAAACTATTATCGATTTCTCTTATTGGGTTGGCAACTAAGTCATTGAGTGATTGATTTTAAAAATACCATCTATCGACAAAATCCACAATCATTTAGTTGCCAATCCAATAGTTTCAATTTATTTGACTTTTTGTATTATCATGAGAAAGACAGTATTTAAAATCTTTAATTTAAAAAAAAAAAAAAACAAAACAACGTACCTTGTCGTGCGTGACTTTCTGTTCTTGTGCCCTAAGTGCTTCTAGATTTGCTGGTTTAGGTGGTACCATTGATTTTTCTTTCATAGCTTCCGCTTTGGCTGCGTTCAAACTTCTCTAAAAGAAAGAAAGAAAAAAAAAAAAAAAGAAGAAACAAAAAATGAATATGATATTCGAACAAACAAAAAATATATCAAAGGATTGATATTTCTTGAAGAATTGATTTCATCGTACTAACGTTAACAGACGCGTTTTGTTTGTGCCTACCTACGCAAAAATGATTTATAAACCATAATTCATTGTGCTAACTCGCGAGTTAAAGTTATTTCAAACATTTGTAAAATTCCACATAGCATTTATACGCAATACAAAAAATTAATTAATTGATTAGAAAGTAACTTGTAAAAATTATTGTACAATTTTGAAACATTGATTACGACATCTTTAAAATCCCTTAGAGATTTATTATACATCTTTATATTGATGTAACAAATTAATGTTTTATAAATAACTTTAGTGTAAATGAATGATAAACAAAATAATCTTAACGAAAGAATAATTTTGTTTAATATTTGTTCATGTGAGATATGTTTAATATGTGATATGGTTATGTAATAGTAATTTACTAACAACAACAACAACAACAACAGTAACGTAATCGATTTGAACGGATTGCTAGAAAGAATCTTCCCCTTCTTTTCAATATGAAAGAGCCTTTCCCTCCTTTTCAATCGTTGCTGCCTACTCTAACGACGAGTACGAGAAAAATGTGGAATCTTTGTAAGAAATCATAAAGAGTGAATGTCAGTTCCTACTTGCTTCGTCATAAATGAAGATAAAGGTTTATAGATAGTTAGATAGTTAGATAAATAGAGAGTTATCAATCTAATGATTGAAATGTAAAGAATTCATTCTTATCATCCTCATCATCCTCATCATTTTCATCCTCAACATTTTCATTCTCAGCATTTTCATCCTCACCATTCTCATCCTCAGCATTTTCATCCTTATCACTCTCAGTCTAAGCACTTTCATCCTCATCATTCTCATCATTCTCATCATTCTCATAATTCTTATCATCCTCATCATTCTCATCCTCATCATTCTCATCCTCATCATCCTCATCATTCTCATCCTCAGCACTTTCATCCTCATCATTCTCATCCTCAGCACTTTCATCCTCATCATTCTCATCCTCAGCACTTTCATCCTCATCATTCTCATCATTCTTATCATTCTTATCATTCCATCATCCCCATCATCCTTATCATTCTCATCATTTCATCATCCTTATCATTCTCATCATTCCATCATCCTCATCATTTTCATCACTCCATCATCTTCACCATTTTCATCATTCCATCATCTTCACCAATTTCATCATTCCATCATCCTCATCATTCTCATCATTCCATCCATCCTCATCATTTTCATCATTCTTATATTTTCATCATTCTCATTATTCTCATCAATCTCATCATCATCAGTCTCATCTTTCTCATCATTTATAAAAAAAAAACATGAACTAATACCTGTTGAGCTCGCCTCTGCAATTCCTGAGTAATGGCAGTGCTTAGATCAGTACTTGCAATAGGAGAAGTTCTTAAATTCGTTGCACGATTAAGAATAATCCCTGAATTTTCATTAATCTTATTAGAAATAGTTGATGAAGCAACAGTAGTGGATCCAAAAGAAATAGTCGAAGATGATGGTGGTTCACAAGATGACGTTGACAACGATGAAGAAGTTGATGCAGAATCTTTGCTACAGGAAGACTCAAGACTTGATTCAGTTTCTGTTGATCCTGTACTACCCATTGACATCGTGCTACCCATTTGCATTCCCATTGCGTTCATTGGTTTTGCATCTGTCAAATGACAATAACAAAAATGAAGTTTTGAAGATTCGTTTGTATTAATTAACACGTTGAGTGTGAAAGTGACTGACACTGAACTTTAAGTTCAGGTTTTGTCAGGTGCCGGTGCCTGACGATGAACTTCAAGTTCAGGCCGTGTCAAGTGCTGGCGCCTGACGAAAGATTTTCGTAAAAATTTGCGTGACGCTCAACGTGTTAATTAATAATAGTAATGTACATTTTATAATTGAAAATTGAATTGTTATTAATACTTAAATATCTAATAATATAAATGAACAATATGTAATAGAGAACCTGCTGGCCATTTATATGGAAGTGGTGGTGGGGGTGCCGGAGGACAAACTGATTGAACTTCAACAACACTCGTAATAGTTTTCCTATCCGTTTCAGTCTGTCTCTGAACCAATTGCAGTTCTGCCAATCGATTAACGTCGTGCTGTTCGTTTTCCTGTATGGAAAAAAAAAAGAAAAAAATAGAGAAACGAATGGTCGAGTTAATATACAACAAGAATTATATGATGGAACGATGAATAATAAAAAGAAATAGAAAAACAAAATTGAAATGAAAAAGATGATGAAGAATAGTACGCTTTAAGCAAAAGTAATTTATATTAGGTTATGGGGTGTTATAAACTTATCAAACTATAAATATAAAACTTATTTTAGATTATGGTTAGGTTGTTAGTTAATGATATTTAAAAACATGCTTGAATTTTTGTATTTTTGTTACCTTGGAAGCATGATAAAGTGGCAACTCGTCAGTAGGACCATCATAAATGACATCCTGTTGTCTGATGATGTCACGTCGATAAGCCAAACGACGATTAGCTTCATCCTTTGGATTAGCATCGAAATCGTGTACCTCGTAATCAATTCTTGGTGCTACAGGATCGTAGAGTGGTTCATTGTCGATATCATAGTCCTCGTAATTACCACGGGAATTCAAACGACGATGACCAGGTGGTGGTACTTGTGGTTGTTGTTGTTGTCTGTGATTTTGATTCTGCATCAGTAGACCCTGATTCTGATTAACACGAATGACAGTCGTGTTATTCGCTTTTCGTATCCAATCCTGTGCCTAAAAATCATGCTAAGATATCATTTTTGTTCTTTCCCCTATTTCTTTCCATTCTTTTTGCACTCGATGTGAAACTGGTTTTTGTCATTTTTTTTTCTTTTTTTTTTTTTTTTTGAACTTACGAACATTCTTCTTTGTTCCTCGTAGATTAAAATACAGAAAAATGGTTGTAACAGATAAAGAAATAGAAGAGGTTTCGCATGACACATGTACAATCGTGAGATAGCATGATAAACACTTGTTCAATGATGATTTACGATGAGAAATGAGATTTCTATCCCTTACCTGATCCACGTGAGACCATTCGGAAGAGGTGCAGCTGCTGGTGGACAGTGCGAGGGGACAGCAAATCCTAATGGAGTTGAGAGAAACAAAAGGAATGAAACTAACTAGGCACATCGATACTTTCTAATCTCGATAAAATGAATCTTTCTCTTTCGTATTGAAAGAGATTTATGTTAGTAACGCTCACGGGTTAAATTCTGAAATATATTCAAACGATCCTTACGAGGAATTCATTGCTTTTCACGATCATTATCGTGAAATGTTCTAATAATAGGGACGAGAACTTTCTCCTCGATTCACATTCCATAGATTGCAAATCGATAATCTTACACGAATAAAATACATATATATATATATATATGACTAATCGTAGAAATATTTTGATAAACTATGACGACAATTAACTATAATCATCGATTAACAACGTTTATTCCGATAATCTTTTTGATTACGTTTCAATACAACTTTGTTAACACGTTGAGCGCCACGTCAGTCATCAATGACTGACATTAGACTATACGTTTAGGCCGTGTCAGTCATTTATGACTGACGCTCAACTATTCCTTCAATACAAAGTAAGGTCTGTGGCCTGACGAGAATTTCTCTTAAGAATTCAACGTGTTAATAATCAACTGGATGATGCTGAGGATCAGGGAAGGGGAAAATGAATCTAGGATTACATAAAAAATGAAAATGAAACCTTATCGTTAAGCCCGTTAAGATTCTAATGACGGATATTTTTTGTTATTTTCTTACCTGCCGTTTCGATTACAGGTATCGTCTCGTGGATATCGTCCCTGCATTCTTGGATCACGAAGATGTTGCGGAGATGATGAAGGATTTTGCAAAGGCGATGGACTGGTTGCTACAATGCTCGATGTTTCGGAATCATAACCACTCGAACCACGAGTCCAAAGTGGTTCAGGGCAATCGTAAAGGTGATTGGGTGGTGGTCGTTGAACGATCAGATCCAGGACAGCTGATCCCTTCATCACCTCTATTGCTCTTTCAAAAGGTAAATCAGTCATTCGTTGTCCGTTGCACCAAACTATTACATCACCGGCTTTCAAACCAGCTGCACGAGCTGGTCCACCATCCCTTGTACCCTGTTGTGTACATTTTTATTAATGATCAATCTTTATTGTTAGGTCTATCAAGAAAATTCTGTACGTTCAAACAAACATTAGTTGAATTTGTAGTCATTAGGGGGGACGGACCACCGTTTCTCAAAATGGAATATACAAAATGTCCACCATGTTGGTGGCAAGAGTTGAAAAGTAATTTAATTAATTAATTGTTCGAATTATGAATAATTTATTAGTTTATTTTTAAAATGAAATAATATTTATGTTAGTATTAACACTATGGCTCCACGTTGGTGCCATTCGAAAATTTGATTTCAAATGAAATTGATTTGAAATTAATTTGATTATTAAATGTTTAAACATTGATAATATTTTGATACATTTTGTGTTCATGTAATATTAGTAGAAGTTTAGTAAAACGGTTGATATTATGTGCATTAGGTTCATCCAACCTGAACAGTGAGGCCAGGTACGATGCCTCTGCAAACACCACAGCCAAGTTGACCTTTCTCACCGACGCGTATTCGGATCCTAACTTCACCGTTTGGAAGCAGTGTGGGAGCAGCCCCCACACCAGTCTCGTTGTATTGCAGCTGTTGTTGCTGCTGTTGCACCATGTGATAGGTAACCGGATCGTTTGGATTGCTTTAAAACGAATCGTAAAAGACTTTTTAGAACGAAAGAATCATCGCGTGGTGGATTTAATAGACTCCTCTAAACTTTTAATTAACGATTCTCTTTTTTATTACTTACTCTTTCACAGGTATCATTCCTACACCTGTAACAGAGACAAAATAAGTCATAATTATTTTATCAAGAAATTTCTTCTGCAAGCTTTTGAAATTTATTCGAAATGTTTGTTTGTTTTTTTTTTTCGTTATTAATAAAATAATAATTACTTTGAATTTTTAATACGAGAACTTGTTGATTTTTGACCAACAGGGCAACCTCCTGATGCACAGCATCTTCAACTGGATATCCATTTACCCTAAGAATTTGATCCCCTACCTAGAAGGGACAAAAACGAAAGTGTCACTTTTCATGCACCTACAAAGTTAAGGTAAACAAAAAGTATTCTATTTAATAATTAGACCAACCCTTAATCCATTTCTATGAGCTTCACCACCTGGTTGAACATTACTTATGTAAAATCCAGCAGCATATTCTCTACCACCGCGTAATGAGAAACCAAAACCGGATGCACCACGACGTCTCAATCTAACACTCCTAGTATAACCGATGACAGCCATTCTGCCACCTCCCACCGGATTTCCAGGACCTGCACCGTTGGATGATCCCGTTCCAGCACTGGACGAGCTGGAAGAGCCACCGGATCTGTAAAAACATCGATGGATTTATCTCTTACCTGTTACTTTTACATCATTCAACTAATCATCATCACCCACCCACCCATGAAATATGTTCAAAAGAAGAAACATGTAATATATTTAAACATAACCTAAAATGTATATGTAATTAATTTCAACTCTGTTTTTTTTTTTTTTTTAATCTTTTATTGCAACATAACTTTCTCATCTAACATTTTCTACATTATACTTTGTGAAATCGTGCGTGCGTTCGTGTGGGATTCCTAGTCTTTTCATAATAATCATAATAATAATAATAATAATAATAATTATGATGCAAAACGATGACAAAGAAATCTAATGAATCGTCGTGATATTTGTCAAAAAAAACATTCGTAGAAAATTAAGTTATTGTATTATTTTCTTCCTTTATCAGAGAGACATGTTTCATAGGTGGTTATGTGGTATGACCACATGTTGTTATCCATATTTCCGATTGATTTCCGCCCATTTTCATATACCCAAACATTCCCAATTATAAATTCACTATTATTGTACACACATACATATACAATATCGAATTTTCATGTATTATCAATCTGTATCTAATATTTGCTGAAAGATAACACGTTGAGGAGCGCCATGCGAATTCTTAGGGAAATTCTTATCAGGCCTCAGGTGTAACTTTGTATTGAAAAAATAGTTGAGTGTCAGTCATCAACGACTGACGTGGCCTGAACTTAGAGTTAAATGTCAGTCATCGATGACTGACGTGGCGCTCAACATGTTAAACGCATATATACGTGCGTCATACTCTCTTATCATTATACACACATACACATATATATGTATGTATTGCGTAAAAGTATGTACTTAAAATGAGATCAGAATGTATTACGTATTTCTTATCTTTTCTTGAACATTTAGTCATTGTTTTACCTACTGTGTAAGTTTCCCAAGTATTTTTCTTTTTCTGATAGATAAACTCAACGAGGGATTAAAAAGAAAAAGAATGTAAAAAATATTAGATAAAAATTGAAGAATCCACTTGTGTTATAAGCTTAAGCTTTTGTTCCATAATAAGCTTTGTACAAACACAAATATTATCAAATTATGTTAGAAATGTGAAATAATGAGTATGAGAGTAAAAAAAAAGTATTGCTAGCTTGAGAGAGGTTAGGTGAGGGGTGGGGGCTTCTCATATTTGTGTTAACTCTCTTGGGAAAGGTATAATACATTGGTGATGTCAACCGGAACACCGTTATGTAACACCTTGACAATAGAAACCAACAGAAGAAGAAGCTCCAACAAGAGCTCTCTTTTATTGTTGTTGTTATTGTTGTTGTTATTGTTTGATACAACACCTGTGTGACTGTAATAATAATAATAATAATAATAATAATTATTATTATTATTATTATAATAATTGGAAATATTATAATGGCGAGCATATGTAGATAGATATTTATTGATGTATATTGAAGAGAAAAAAGAAAGCAAGCAAGCAAGCAAGGGAATGAGAAAAATGTTAAGTGGGAGTGAGATAGAGAGAGAAACGTGTACATAGGTACATACCGTTAGTATCGTCGATATCACCATTGGACAATCGAGCTCACGAAAGTGTTACGACTGTTATACGTCTCTAAATCGGCACGTAGTAGTTAGTAATGCACACGACATTGAATTCACGTAATATGTTGATTTTATTTTTACAACGTGCATGTATACTTATAACATTATCTTATTATTATTATTATTATTATTATTATTATTATTATTATTATGTATTCATTTTTAAATGTTATCCAAATTTTATTATTGTTAAAAATATTTGTATGTTAATGAGAGTATGTTAATGAGTTTTACTGTTGTTTTTTTTTTACTGTTCAATTTTATGAAGAGTTTATGAAGAGTAGGTTTTTTTTGTTTAGAAAGGACAGGACAACCATGACGATGATTCTCATTCACATTACTTACTGGTACACCTGGTATATTATATATATAGATGTGTGTATAGATGATTGGTTTGTTAGGAAAGTAATTTTGTTTTTAATTTTGTAAAAATGAAGATAATTTTGACTTTGAAGTTTAGAACCTAGGAGGCCATTCAAGTTGACTTAAAAAGAAACTCCATTTGTTTTTAGATCTTAAAAATTATATAATGACAATTATAATAATAACAATAAGTACAATAATGAAGAATATTTGGTATAAAAATATTTTTGATTTGAAATCAAGTTAAAAATCAATCAGTCAATTGACTTGTGTTGTAGTTTTAGTGTTAAACAGTAGAATTGAATTGAATTTGATAAATTCAACCTCTCATCGATCTTACGTGTTGATTATTTGCCTGTTTGTATCAATTAATGTGTTTTATTGTGTTAGGAAAAAATGAAATTACTTTCTGAACAATCCAATATTGTTTTTTATATATCTAAACTATGTATATATAATAGATACATATACTGTTAAAGTACACACACATATGTGTGCACTTATTTACTTGCAAATTCATTCATTCTGTTTCTATCTCTCTCTCTCTATCTCTCTCTCTCTTTTTCAATTTTTTTTTTGAATTTAATTCGAACCGGTTTTGAGCCGCGTTTAACGTTGCTCTCCTTCCTTTTGAAATTGAGCGATTATACGAAAAGGAGGTGGTGGTGGTGGTACCTCTTTCTAGTAGTACTCGGTTATAATGAGACCAACATCGTAGACGTATGACAGAGCGCATTTTCGCGCTATCTTCGGAGAACAAAGGGAGCCGTATGTTCAAACCGGTTCCAACCTTACATATATATATATACACCTATACAAGAAGAAGAAGAAGAATAAGAAGAAGAAGAAATAAAAGTTAGAATATCATTTCCTTAGAAACTTTGTTAAAAAATATCGATCATCATATTTCTATTGAGAATTAAAAACAAAAATAAGAAGAAGAGTAAAAATAAACCTCTTTTTAACACGTTGAGTACCATATCAGTCACATGTGACTGACAAGGATTTCCCCTTAAACCGCGTCAGTCATCGATGACTGACAGTATTTTCTCTTAAAACCGCGTCAGTCACCAATGACTGACACTATTTTCTCTTAAAACCGCGTCAGTCACCAATGACTGACA